AATTATAGAAGTTAATGGAGGAACAGATGGAGATCAACTACTTCGGCCCCTTTACTATAGGAGGGGGTTGGAGTAGGATGAAAAATGTTAATACCCTGAACTCTACTTTTCAGTTAGTGACAAAAAGAAAGAGAAAGTTAAAAAGGTACTTCTAGAGGCCAAGACTGGGTCAGTCTGAACTTAAAGTCCCCAAACATGTTGGTTTCCTTTCCTTGGAAATAAAAGAAGCTCTTAAAAAGTTATCTGGATGAGGAGGAGAATGATGTAGCTAGCCCACAGACAATCTGGGCTCTTGGGAACTGCCACACTCATCCTCCCTTAGTTCAGAGCTGCTTGTCCCAGCTTGAAATGTAAGTGGCACATAAGGATATTCAGTGAGCTCGGCAGAATCATCACAGAAAAGGGCTTGAAGACACGCAGAGGCAGAGAGTCAGAATTGGGCCTCAGCAAACAAGGCGAAGGAAGACAAAGGCCTTCCTTCTATCCCTGCATTCTGCTGTGGCTGCTGCCACTTTATTTGCCCTTTAGAGATGCAGAGATCTTGACACAGCCCAGACGCTTCCCGCCACTGCTCAGGACGCTCTCGATGCGGTAGTTCCCGGTGCTGAGCCAGCTGGGAAGCTCCAGGTCAGGCACTGTGAAATCACTCTTGGGCAGCAAGTAGGTACCCTGTGAGAAAGAAGTGGAGCATGGGTCAGGGGAACCCAATGACAGGACTCTCCTTCCTGGAGCCACCTCGAGGACTGCCATAAACTCCCCTTCTCCCATTCTCCTGGGTCCACACAAGCTTAGAGATTGCCATAGCATCAAAAGGACCCTGGAGGTCACAGCTAAGTTCAAGTTCTCCACTTCACCCCAAGATAAGCRATTCTTACATATCCCCACACCAACACATCTAAGAGGAGAACGCAAAGACTCTCCTCTCCAAACCCCCTCTTTACTCCAGCCACAGAAGTAACGCTCCCCACCACCCAACCTTGTTCCACCCAACCTTGTTAAGTACATACTTCCTTGAAGGGACAGTGACAGGGAAGTCCATAGGTGTGTAGGGGCTCTGGGCAGGGCTCCCCAGGGGGAATTACGGTGTTAAGCACATCACAGAAGTCTTCATAGGTACAGCTGCCAAGCTGCTCCACACATGGAATCTTGACCCAGAAGCCAGCCACTTCCTTCTCCACCGTTAATTCTACCTGATGAGAAAGGATTTGAAAAAGGCTACAAGTGTAAATCTGGTGCCAAACACACCAGCTCCCCAACCTCTTTAGAGGTCAGTATTAAGTTTTAATCATAGAATATTTAACTGGACAGGATTTTTTTTTTTTTTTTTTTTTTGGTCCTAGAGAGTAAACCCAGGGGCATTTAACCGCTGAGCCACATCCCCATCCCTTTTTATATTTTGTCTACAGATAGGGTCTCACTAAGTTGCTTTGGGCCTTGCTAAGTTGCTGAGGCTGGCGTTGAACTTACAATCCTCCTGCTTCAGCCTCCCAAGTTGTTGGGATTACAGGTATGCACCACCACGCCTGATCCCAGAAGGACAATATTATGGTACATGCCCCAGCACAATATCCTTTCCTGTGCTCATGGTAGGCGTTAATCATTGAATGTTAATTTAATCACTGAATGTTAATTTCCAGTACTGGGAATTGAACCTAAGGGTTCTCTACCACTGAMCTATACCCCAGCCCTTGTTATTTTTTGAGACCAAGTCTCACTAAGTTGCTCAGACTGTCCTCAAACTTGCAATTGTCCTACCCCAAGCCTCCTGAATGGCTGGGATTAAAGGCATRTTCTACTGAGCATGGCTCAATTTTAGAATTCTTGAAGTTGTCACTACCCATTGATTAAAACTAACACTTGCCRCTGAAATTGCACTAACTGGCTTCACTGTGGCATTGTTTCCTGGCTTCTTCTGAGCCCATCTTGTCTGCAGAACTCTTCTACACAGGACTTCAGACAGTTTTAAGCAATGACTGGAGTTGGTGACCAAGGAAAAGCCTATCAGCTATACTTCTGACAGAAAYGGTGCTGGGAAAATTGGAAATCCATATGCAACAGAATAAAATTAAACCCCTATCTCTCACCATGCCCAAAACTCAACTCAAAGTGGATCAAGAACCTAGGAATTAAAACAGAGATATTGTGTCTATTAGAAGAAAAAGTAGGCCCAAATCTCCACTTCCTCAATAAGTCTAGGAGCAAGATTCATCAAGAATCAATAAATGGGATGGATTTAAACTAAAAAGCTTCTTCACAGCAAAAGAAACAATCAGGTGAATAGAGAGCCTACTAATTGGGAATAAATTTGTATCATACACACATGAGATAAAGCACTAATCTCTAGAATATATAAAGAACTCAAAAATATTAATAYCAAAAAAAATACAARTAACCCAATCAATAAATGAGCCAAGGAACTGAACAGAGCCTTCTCAGAAGATAATATATAATCAATCAACAAGTACATGAAAAAATATTCAAAAATTAGAGAAATGCAAGTCAAAACTACTCTAAGATTTCATCTCACTCTAGTCAGAATGGCAGCTATTATGCAYACAAACAGTATTAAGTGTTGGAGAGGATGTGGGGGAAAAGGTACACTCATACACTGCTGGTGGAACTGCAAATTAGTGCAGCCAATATGAAAAGCAGTATGGAGAATCCTTGGAAAACTTGGAATGGAACCACCATTTGACCCAGCTATCCCTCTCTTCAGTCTATACCCAAAGGACTTAAAATCAGCATACTATAGGAACACAGCCACATCAATGTTTATAGCAGCACAATTCACAATAGCTAAACTGTGTAACCAACCTAGATGCCCTTCAGTAGGTGAATAGAAAAAAAAAATGTGGTGTATATACACAATGGAATATTACTCAGCATTAAAAGAGAATAAAATCATAGCATTTGCAGGTAAATGGATGAAGCTGGAGAATATAATGCTAAGTGAAAGTAGCCAATCCCAAAAAACAAAATGCTGAATAATTTCTCTGATTTAAGGATGCTGATCCATAATATGCGGGACGGGGGGAGAGATTAAATGAATTTTAGATAGGGCAAAGGGGAAAAGGGAAGGGAGAGAGCATAAAGGTAGTAAAGATGGTGGAATGTGAGGGTCATCATTACCCTAAGTACATGTAAGAAGACAAGAAGGATGTGACTATACTTTGTGTACAACCAGAGAAATGAAAAATTGTGTTCTATATGTATAATATGAATCATAATGCATTCTGTTGTCATATAATCAAAAATAATAATAAAAAGGTCTTAATCACAGCTGGGTTACAACAGATGAAACTATCTGCAGAAGTGGCAGGCTCTCCAGACTCAGTTGGGGAAGCCACAAAAGGATCCTCAAAACCTGAGAGAAGCTGAATGAGAAGATCTAGAATGTGTCTCACACCTCAGTGCTGTCATGGTCCTGCTCCCGTTCCAGAAGACAGATCTCATCCAGAAGGGGTCAGCCCAGCTGTACCTTGCACACATCGAGCATGAATTCTACATGAGCTCCACCAGTGCCAAAATGAGTTGTCCCCTCATTCATGCTCCACCAAAGCTATTAAGGGAAATGCTAAGGAAGAGGCAGCAGGAAGTTAGCTCTTAAACATCCAACTTTTTGTAGATTTATGGCAGGAAGCCACATTTTTAGGATCCCTTTCCACTCTGACGTTCCAGCAACTTATGAATCCCAGGCTTGCTTGGGGGGGGGGGGGATTTTGTTTCTAAGAGACAGATCCTGGAGAGGTACTTATTTCTTCACAGTCTGCTAGGCTCAGGCTGGTTCTCAGGCTACCAACTCAAGCCTTCCAACTGCTCCAAGTATCAGAATATTGGCTCCTCTCCTCCAGGCTCACCAAGAATGGACAAGTCAGAACACCCTGTAACTTGTATGGACAAGTTCAAACTGAATTCCTTTGCTGGCCTTAACTGTTCTATGACACATCCATTATCCAAACCCCTAGTTGCACAGTAGCCCTTCCACCAGCTCTCCCTCCTCTCTGACAAGCCTGCTCCTACTCCTCTGACCAGGAAGAGCCAGACAGAGGTCCTGAGTTGGAAGGTTAGTTCTCCCCCTTTCTAGTAGGATGCCTTTGGGGGAGTTACTCTACTTCTCTCAGTTTCCATTCCCTCACCTTCAAAAGTGGGGTATTTTATAGTTCCAGTCTCTCTCACAAGGTCTTCCTAAGTGGGACAATAGCTTCCCAGCACCTAGCATCATGCCTGGAATGCAAAAACTGTCTCCTGCCAGGCATGGCAGCTTAGGCCTATAACCCCAGCTACTCAGAAGACTGAGGCARAAGGATTGCAAGTTCAAAGCCAGCCTGGGCAACTTAGCAAGATCCTGACCCAAAATAAAATTAAATGGAAATCATGAAAAAAAMAAAAAAGTGAGCTGAGGATGTYACTTAGTGGTAGAGTGTTTGCCTGGCATTTTCGAGGCTCTGGATTTAATCCCCAGTAGAGTGGGGCAGGGGGATGGGACACACCTATCTCCTGCCTGCCTGACTTCTGCCTTGRCTGACACTCTCTCCTTGTTTCTCCAATACCCCAGTGAGAATGCTTGAGCCAGTTATGCCTTGAACAAGAACACCCAGCTGTGGGGACGGGGGAAGCAAGTCCTGCCTGGGCTCCTCCCACCAAGCTGGCAGCCTGGGGGGCTGCACCCACCAGAAGGAGCAGTGCTTCCCTTACACCTTTCCTACCCCTACCCCAAACCAGCAAGGCCCTGGAGACAAGCAGCACAAGTTACTGAACTTAAGTCAATAGCCAGATCTGAGGTCACAGCCATGCCTACCACTTGGAGATTACAGCTAGAATGGTTCCATAATTTGGTTATTGTTAATTGTGTTGCTATAAACCCAGGTATGCTTGTATCACTCACTATAGTATGCTGACTTTACTTATTTTGGATAAATACTAAGGAGTGGGGTAGCTGGGTCATTTCTAGTTCTATGACTCATTTCTAGTTCTCAATCTATTTGCTCAAAGAGAAGCAAGCAGGGCTGGATGAGAAGGTATCATCAACCTCTCTGTTCCACAACTTCACTGGCACTTCCATGACACAGAGGCACTGATGAATCATGGGTTCCAGCCCTAAGTTGGCAAGTACCTGCTGGGTCCCTTCAAAAGCCCTCTCCCCTCTTGAGGACTTGTTTCTCCACCTTGACAGTGAGTTATGTGGATCTCACGACTGCAAGGAGACCTACATCTGAGTCAAAGTTTCCTGTGGTTTCAAAAAAAAAAAAATGACCTCTCTCTGTTTCCTTCACAGGCTAGGCATCATTGTCTTGGTCCAAATTTATGACTAGTAAAATAATAGAAAAAAGAGCAGCCAGGCACCATGGCCCACATCTGTAATCCCAGCAGGTCAGGAGCTGAGGCAGGAAAATCACAAGTTCAAGGCCAGCCTTGGCAACTTAGCAAGACCTATCTCTAAATAAACAGAGAAGGACACATAGAKAGATAGGGCTAGAGATATAACTTAATGATAGAGCATCTCCTCAATGCAAAAAAAAAAAACTCCCTTGTGTATACATACCACATTTTCTTTATCCATTTGACAGACAGCTAGAATGGTTCCATAATTTGGTTATTGTTAATTGTGTTGCTATAAACACAGGTATGCTTATATTACTCACTAAAGTATGCTGACTTTACTTATTTTGGATAAATACTAAAGAGTGGTGTACCTGGGTCATATGGTGGCTCTATGCCTAGTCTTTTGAGGAAACATCGTATTGCTTTTCATAACGGTTATACTAATTTACAGTCCCACAAACAGAGTAATGTTCCTTTTCCCCACATCCTCATCAGCATTATTTCTTTTCTTTTTTTCTTTTTTTTTTTTTTGGTACTGAGGATTGAACTCAGGGGCACTCAACCACTGAGCCACACCACCACACCAGCCCTTTTTAGTATTTTATTTTGAGACACGGTCTCCCTGAGTTTCTTAGGGTCTCACTAAGTTGCTGAGGCTGGCTTTGAACTCACGATCCTTCTGCCTCAGCCTCCCCAGCCACTGGGATTACAGGCGTGCACCACTGCACCTGCTATTTGAATTCTTGACAATTGCCACTCTATCTGGAGTAAAATGAAGTCTCGGTGTAATTTAGATTTGCATTTCCCTGCTGATTAAGGATGCTGAACATTTCTTTTTATATTTGTTGGCCAACTGTATTTCTTCTTTTGAGAAATGTCCGTTTAGTTCATTTGCCCATTTATTGATCGGGTTATTTGAGTTTATTCTGGTATTGATTTTCCTGAGATAGATATATATATATATATATATATATATATATATTATGGATATTAATCTTCTGTTGGAAGAGTAGCTGGCAAAGATATTCTCTTATCCAGTAAACTCTTTCTTCACATTCTTGTCTCCTTTTCTGTGYAGAAGTTCTTTTTTAATTGATGCCACCCAACTTATTGATTGTATTATTTCCTGACCTTTAACCATCTACAGTTTCTAACATGGTTTTATAACTTTATATGTCACTACTTTGTAATTAACATCAACAACAAAACCCAATTGCCAACCAGAGTGGACCATCACGTCCAGAGAATGGATTAATCATTCATGCCCTCTTCAGGAAGTCATTGGGCTGACATCAGGGATTCCCTGCAACACTGTGATCCTGAGATTTCACAAAGCTTAATAAGAGTCACTGGATCTGTGCCTCATGTGCTGCTCTTGGATCGCTGGATTCGAAAATTCTTCAGTTCCCTGAGCAAGTGTCTCTCAGGGCCTCGGATGGCTGCCCATACCACCTCCCTCTCCCCACCTACCCCAACTCACCTTCTGAGGCGAAGTGAGGGGAACACTGGTCTTGCCCTCAACACTGACATTCACATTCCCAGGAACGACAATGGGGTCAGGTTCCAACATCAGGCTTTTGATCACAGCAGGGTCCTTCCCTTCATCACAGTTATCCCAGGAAAAGCTACCAAGCKGGGGGGGCTAGGGACAGTCAAGTAACAAAGAAAGAGGAAAAAAGTGAAGTTGACAGATTATTTTGGTTTTTATGAATCAAGATATGAAAAATTCAGAGTGATACGTATGCATTTGAAATGATAAAAAAAAGAATTGTCATTGCTACTGGTTATTTTAATTACATACATGAATCCCATAAAATATTTGAACTCAAAAAAAAAAAAAATGGAACCATCTCAGGTCAGAAGAATTGACAGAACAGGCTGCTGATGGTGTGAGCCTACTGATGGTACAACCTTACATGAGGCACCTCCCCTTTTTGAGCCATCTGCAACCCTCTATCTTAAATTTGGGATTACATTTGTCCTACCCATTTTATAGGCAGGACTATAATAAAAGAGTATAGCCCTTATATAGTATATCGAACATTATAGGGCACAATATAAAAGACCTTGAACTTCAAAATAGACRACTAACCTTGTTTTTTGGCAGGTGCCTTCTGGGATCTGCCCCCTCCCTGCTGCCCACTCCTCTCTAGCCAGCCTTGGGATCCCAGTAGATGACAAGCTCCTGGAAGACTCACCTCTGAAATCCACATCCAGGACCCTATTCACATCATACCCCATGCTCAATCCAGGGCCAGGAACAACAAAGAACACAAAGCACGTGGGAAACATAACAGCACCCCAAGCCCTATCCTCAAGAGAACAAGAACACACATGCAAAGATCCCCYGTGGGCCCCTTGTTGATGGACCATCCCCAGGGAACAGACTTGCTYCACCCCAGGTGGTGCTTTCTTACTCCCACTCCATCACTCATGCCACGTCCCCCTACTTGAGTCACCCTCGGTTCCTCTGCAGAGCCACTTCTCTCATTCTTCCTCCAGATCCCCCAGGAGGTCTCCTGATTCTACCACTATCTTGTCCGGCTCACTTCTCACTCCCACAGGACCTCATGATCTTTAACACACCCCACTCTGTACAAACTCTCCCACCTGCTCACACCTTTCCCAGCCCCCAAAGGCCACCTGCAAGAGACCGTCAAGAGTCCCACCATCCACACTCAGTCTTAAAAAGAAAACCTGCCAGTCCCATGCTCCCAAGCTGACCTCMATCTTCAACATCCCCACAGCTGACTGGACAAGAGACAACATCTGGTTCAATCCCCAGCACCAAAGAGGGCGTGGAGGAAAAGAAACACCTAACCCAAAGATTGACAGATTCTGATTTTAGAATGAAGACACAAAAGACTGTATCATCCCTGGGACATGGGGCTTGGTGCTCTTGGGTCATGAGTTTGGGGTTGGGGCCAAAGCATCTAATGTTGAGAAATGTCTGTTTAGTTCATTTGCCCATTTACTGATTGGGTTATTTGGGTTTATTTTGGTGTTGATTTCCCTAAGTTTTAAACACACACACACACACACACACACACACACACTGTATTAATAATATAATAAGCATCTCCTGGATATAAATCTTCTGTTGGAAGAGTAGCTGGCAAAGATATTCTATCCAGACCTGAATCATGACCAAACTGACGTTGAGAAAGAATGAAGAGTTCTGCTGGTCTGTGGAAAAGGGAACAAGATAAAGTGACTACCCTGTGTACAAAGCAGTGAGGGRCATGGCTTTGGAGCGATGCATGTCAAAGGAAGGCTCCGGTCAAGCCGACCCAGGCTGAAATCATARCTCGGCCACATTTCCTGAGTAATTCCATAGGTCAGTAACCCCCTGGAGCCAAAGTTTCCACATCTTTTATGTGGAGGCATTTTTATCTCCCTCTCAAGGCTGTCACAAGGGGACAAGCATGGATGTCAAGCTCATAACACCAGGCCAAAATTCACGCTGGCTCACTAAATGAGAGCCATGAGACATCCCAGCCTCCACTTCCTGCCCTGAGTTCCGTGTATACCTGTTAAACTTCCCTTTACTTGAGCTCCTTGGAATGGGTTTCTAATCCTTGGAATGACTGGTCCTACCATGACTAAGAAAGGCAGGACGGAATAGGTGACAGCAAATGTTTCCTTCAATATTCATTCCACAAATATGTRTGGAGCAACAACTACAGGCCCTAAGGACTGTGTCAATTAGTGGTAAACAATCAGACATGGCCCCTGCCCTGCCTTGTGGAGCTTATAGTCTAATATAAATAAACAGYACTAAAATTTTTGAGTGCCACAAAGGAAAAGAACAGAAGGTGATGTTGAGAGTAACAAAGGACCCACTTAAGTAGGGTGGTGGGGAAAAGCTAAACCTGAAGGATGAGGAGTCAGCCATGTTGTGTGCTGAGAGAATATAGCAAAGGCCCTGCGGCAGGAAGAAGCCTAGCTTCACCAGGCACTCACTACAAAGCCAACAGGCTAGATGTGTTGGAGGAGGAACATGGCTGAGGCTGGAGGGGTGGCAAGGTCATWTAATACAGGACTTCATAGGTTATAATCAGGAGGCTGAATTGACCATGGTGCAATAAAACCCACTGAAGAAAAACACCAGGCTCTGATTTATAGTTGTGAATAGACAGCTTGAAAGGGGGGATCACTTGGGAGGTCACTATCAAGYGAAAAAGTGCCTGGAGTTAAGATTTGGGCTGAAGAAATAGGTAGGAGGACTCACTATTCTCTGAGGCTGCTTTCCCAACTCTAAAGTAATCTGATTCACATTGAGGATTGATTCCGAGCTGAGGGAAGTTTCCAGAATACCCCTTTAGATCCTTCTTCCCTCTCCTAAACTCCTTCCCTATTTCTAGGTCCTGGGGGAGATATAACAAGGTACTTTTCAGGTACCACCTGGCTAGCCGCAGCTATGGGGAGGGGGTTCTGCAGCTGCATCCAGGCTCCCTGGGGAAAGTAAATATGATGGATTAGCAATGCCCACCCAGGGCCAGGCTGAGTACCAGGCATCTGCCATCCCCATTCTAGACCAACACATGGGAAGAGGCAGCATATGGAARATGGGAAAGACCTGACAATGGAGGCAGAAATATTTGTGCAAATCAGAGACATAGGTTAAAATCATACCTCAGCTGTTCTCACTGCTGAAACCATAGGTAAGTGAATCCCTCAAGGTTMAATTCCCTCAGCTATTAAATGGGCATAATTATATCTTCTCACAGGGTTATTGCGAGGGTAAGAAATTTGTATACACAAAGCACAGAGTTCAACTCATCAAGACTTTCAAGCTCATGGAAAAAAAAAAAAAAAAAAAGGAAAGACTGAGAAACTATCACAGGCCTCAAGACAGTGGCAAGACATGACAATGCCATGTGGTGTTCTGATCCAGATCCTGGAACAGGAAGAAGACATTAACAGAAAACTGGTGAAACAAATAAAATCTAGAGTTTAGTTAATCATAATGTACTTATGTTGGTTTCATAGTTTTGACAAAGTATGCTGATAATATAAGATGCTAACAACAAAAACTAGGTGAATATTGAAGCTCTATACTATCTTTGCATATTTTCTATAAATCTAAAATTATTTCAAAATTTAAAAATGTATTAGAAAAAAAAGCACAAGACTCAATGCATAACACCTAGTATGTATACAATAAATAACACTGTATAGCATTAAAAAGTCTATTAAGCACTTACTATGTGCCTCCACAGAGCTAAGGTGCTTAATAGACTTTTTAATAGCCCAGAGTCACTGAGTCGGGTTAATGCCAGAACTAGAATTCAGGTTTYCAGAGGCTGAAACACTGACTTGTCACCCCACTACCTTTATCTGGCCCTTGATCACAGAATCCTGCCAGGACTCTGAATCACATAAGCTCAGTGAAAATATATACATGATAAGAAAATATAAACTGAAAGTGCCACTTGCTGTGTGATCTTGAGTGAGCCCCTAAAGGTCTGAGTGAAGTGGGTGATCTCTATGATGTCTCAGAGCCTCGCTAAAACTGCCAGTCTAAGACCCCAATGGTTTGGGATGGTACCCAAACACAAGGCATACAAGAGAACAGGGCAAGCTCAGACCCCACAGTGGGTGGCCATGCCTGAGGCCCAGAGTAGCTTCTCAACCACACTCAGGGACAAGGTGCAAAGGCTTTGTGTAAATAAGGCCAAAAGGTCCTCACTCCTTCATTCAACAGGCAAAATAGGGGCTGGGTTTTGGCTCAGTGGTAGAGTGCTTGCCTAGCATGTGTGAGCACTAGATTCTCGGCACCCCATATAAAAAAATAATAAAATGAATAAAGGTCTATCAACATCTAAAAAAGAAAAAGAAACAGGCAAAATAGTCTTCCTGCTCTGAGCAAGGGAGATCAAGAGAAGTCAGTTTCCTTCCTGACAACAACCCAGACATCACACTCTACAAATGAAAAAAMCAAGACTCAGGGAGTCATGGATTGGAACAGAGCGGGATCAGAAGCCAGGCCTCCTCTGATGGGTCCTACCCACTTTCCCCTACACCATACTGTTCCTCTCTCTGGAACAAACCTCCAAGGTGGTGTGGGGAAGTGATCTGCATTTGACCTGTCCCTTTGCTACCACAGACGTGTCTTGTCCACAGCTGTGAAGCAAAGAGGCAATGGAACGGGACTAATTAGGTCTCAGAATGACAGAACTTCCCTTTTCCAGGGGTCTGCAGCATGGGATAAATAAGAAGTGAAGGGGGAAGTTTGGGAGGTGGGAGGGCCTGTCCTCTCGGTGGCCCACAACCAGCGGGGTCACACACAGGTCTGGACAAGTATAGACCTCCCACCTACCTCCCAGGAAGAATTCAGAGAATTTGGGCAAGAGAAGGCTTGAGGCACCAGGCCTCATCACAGGGAAATGGGAAGCAGGGATAATGGGTATGGAGCAAAGTATTTGACTAAATCAAGTACTGGGCTAAATCTCTGGGCCTGGAGCAGTGCTTTAGCTCTGCGGGTCTATGCAGCTCAGGCGCTAGGAAAGGGCAGGAGTGAGGACGGGAGCGAGATTACTYCCTCCAAGAGAGTATGGAGCACCACACCATCACTGCACAGAGTCCCATATTTGATCGCTTTGGGAGGCTCTGCTTGCAGAAAAGGAAACACTAAGAAACAGCCCCATATCCCACCCACCCGCACAACCCCAGTAGGGAGATTGCAAGCAGCCGCCTAAAAGGAGGGGGAACTCACGCGGTTTAGGACTGTGCGCGCCCAGGCCGCAGGGCTGGCAAGAAGCAAGCCCAGGAAGATCAGGAGCAGAGTACGCATCAAGGGATGCATTGCGAAGGGTGGATCCGCGCGGAGTTAACTACAAGGATTGAAGCACCAGCGGCGCCTTTAAATGCCTGTCTTCATTGGGTATGCAAAGCTGTGCTTCGCTATGCAAAAGCTGAGTTCAGCCACCAGCAGGTTGGCCCTGCCCTGTCCAGCTCCGCCCAGTGGGAGACATTAGGGTAGGAATTGGAAGGATCTTTCCCGGCTCCGCCCCCCAGCGCGAGTGTAAACCGCCTCCTTCCAATGTGCAGAGGTTGAACCGGAGGAGGAACCGAATAGAGCTTAGCGCGAGGAAGGGGCGGGGACGAGAGCCAGAGAGGGGCGGGGCTGAGAGCTGGGGGGGCGAAACCGAGCGTGAGGGAGGGGCGGAACCCAGTGCGGGGGCGGGGCGGGGCGGAGCTGAGCGCTAGGGCGGGGCGAGACTGGGAGCCGGGGCGGGGCGGAGCTGAGCGTGAGGCGCCGAGGAACTGAGAGTGGCTAGGGGGGCCGGAGCGGGAGGGCGGGGGCAAGGATGTGTCTGTCACCACCCGGGGATCTTAAGGACCCACGTACCCAGTTTTATCACGACCAAGTCCTTCTCCTCAAACATGACATGCTCCCTGCATAGACAACTGCTCACGTTACGAATCACTGTCTTTTTATTATAAATGCTTTAAGGCAGGCTAAGGCCTTATTGAGAGCATCTAGGTTTTAGCCCCGTTTTAGCACCGAGGGAATGCGGTGAGGTTAGCTTTGCGGAAGTCACTCAGCTAAGAGATGAAACAACCTGACTCTGCTAGTTGAAGTTTGCTTTAAGTAAAAACAATAGAAATATTATTTCTACCAAATAACCACTAGATTGTACACTTCGCAAGAGGTAAAACCATAAATTTTAGTCACTGATGGATACCCAGTGCCTGAAACCTAATAGTCATTGTTAGGTAAATGAGTGCGTAAGTAAAAATTAAAAGTCACCTATTTTTTTTTAATAAACTGTATTTTGAAATGAATTTTAAATTTATAGAAAAGTTTACGGAAATAGTTCGAAACTCTCTTCCAATTCCCTTTTTAACATTAAAATGTCATGGCACTTTTCCAAAAACTAAGAACATGTCATCTGTACTTTACTGTCAACTAGGCTCCAGATTTTTCTAATGATCCTCTCATTATGATAAACTCTCCCCTCTTCCATCTTACGGAACCTCTTCATTACACACAAGTGCGATTTGAGGTCCAAGGGACAAGAGGACTTGCCCAAATGGTACATGGCAGAAGCATTACTTGAAATCATTTCTCCTGCAGCTGATCCTGTAGATTGTATGAGAGATGCCCATGTGGGCGTGCTCCTTGGTGGATGGTGGGGGCTATAATGTCATCATTGAAACTCCCTAGAGCATCACCCAGAATTAGGCAAAGAAGTATTTCCAGCATCATTCCTTCATCTTGGTAGCTGCCGGATTCCATTCTCTTAGTCCCAGATTCTCTCCATCATCACACTGCCAAGGTCAACAGCCTTGAGCAGTAAAAGGTTCATTCTCCCAGCCACCTTGGAAAACTGCATAGTGAGTGAGCACATTCCTTTCAGATTAGTGTATCTGGCACCGCCATATGAAGAGCTTCCAGAAGTTAGCATACCCAGTGACTAAAAACCAAGACCATAACATAGATGGAAGCAGGAACAGGACAGAGGTTTGTTGAGAGTGCTTTGCTTGAGTCAGGTAGACRCAAGCTTGCATCCTGGGCCTGTTGCCTGCTGCTGGAAGAAACTGGGTAGGAACCTTAACCCCTCTACCTCAATTTTCTCATTCGCACAACAAGGATTAAAAATAATGATGATTTAAAATAACAATAAYGATGATGATGATGAAACTACCTCTTAATGATAAGCTATTTACTCATTCACTTGTAGATTCAATAATTGAACAAGATAAAGACCCTGCCCCTATCCCAACAGGCAAACCCACATCTCCACTATTACTTAGAGAAGAGCAATCAGGAAGAAAATAATAATAAGCAAAATGATATTATCAAATGATAATATTAAAAAGAAAAAAATCAGGTGAAGATAATACAAAGTGAGGATAAATTGCCTTTTTGAGTCATGTAAGAACCCTCTGAGGAGGTGAACTTCAATAGTCCTTGGGAAAAATAAGAAACCTTTAGGGAGGGAGAAGCCAGTGTGAGAATCAAACATGGTCAAGACCATCAGGCCATGGTTCCCRGGCAGGGCTGCACATTGCAGTCCTCTGAGGATTTTATGTAAAAAGCATATTTTGTCTTCTTTATAAAAAGGAGTAATTTGTCTTAAGTTCAGAAATTTCATAAAGGCTGTTTTAAATTATAACCTTAAGTAAGGAAGCAAAGAGGCAGAAAAGAATCAGCAAGAAGGATAAAGAGATATAAAAAGGTTTTGATTATGAAGATTTATTTTGGATAATATTTCTGAATGAAAAAAATGAGATTTTTTTGTTGTTGTTCAAGATGGGAAAAAAAGAGGGGACAAAACTAAGGATGGAAACAAGTTGTAGAGTGTCCAATTAAGTCACAGAGGTTTATGGAAGATAAACCTTTGGAAATTTGTATGTGTGATTAATTTAACTATAATTAAAAGATTGTGTAAGGGTTTTCTAAGGTCAAAATTTAATGTACTGACATAAAACCAGAATCTAATTCTGTATGTTTAAGATAACAAGGTTTTCTTAAATCATTGATCTGCTCTTAATAACATTTGCAAGAACTGGCTTAAAAAATAAAGATTTTGGCCTAGCAAGGTGGTACATGCTTGTAATCACAGTAGGTGCAGAAGCTGAAGCAGGAGAATCAAGAGTTCAAAGCCAGCATCAGCAACTGTGAGGCCCTAAGCAACTCAGTGAGACCCTGTCTCTAAATAAACTACAAAAATAGGGCTGGGGATGTGGCTTAGTGGTCGAGTGCCCCTGAGTTCAATCCCAGGTACCTAAATTTAAAAAATAAATAAATAAAATAAAGATTTTATATTTTATCAAGATAATTTTTTATGTCTATTAGTTTCCATTACTTAAGGAAACTTAGTCTTAAAAGAATTAGGATTTAAGTACCTGTCTGTTTTTAAGTCTTTTAAATGATCACTTCAAAACTCTGGTTAAATGAATAACTCTAATTTTAGTCTATTATGGTATATTTGAACCCTAAATATATGTGACTAGAGTTAAATGTCTAAATGATATGCAAAAGTTCATATAATTAAAGCTACATAGGTTTAATATAAGCAAGGTTACCCATAAGTGCTCTCTTCTTTACAATRTACATTATATGTGAATCTTAACACTCAAAATGGTCAATAAAACTTTTGGCATTTCTGCCATTTATATTTGGTCTGCATCTGCTTTAACTGAATAAGCACTTTGTTATTATACATATGAGATGCACTTGTATACCAGGTACTATGTCTGTTTGTGTTCATTGACTTATAAGAGGTTAATAACTTTGGATTTTTGTCAGTGCTGTTAACCTCTATGGACTTTTAGTTGTAGTTGTCCTATGAAGCCATGAATTCTGAATTTTGTTTCAAGATTTAAAATTAAGTTAATAAGTATATAAAGGACATCTGTGTAACTGTGATGCTAATTATTAATGGCTTCTTTGTATTTTAAATGTATAAGCCTTCTTCAATGTAAAGTTGAGGAGAGCACTTTACTAAGCTGGTATTCTCCAATCTAAAATTGTTAGTAGTGATGGGCTTTTTCAGGCATATACAAAGATAGCTAATTTGGATGGGGATTTATTTGTGTCAACTAATATTTTTTTTTTACTTTTTTTATTTTTTTTTATTGTTGGTCATTCAAAACATTACATAGTTCTTAATACATCATATTTCACAGTTTGATTCAAGTGGGTTATGAACTCCCAATTTTACCCCGTATAC